ATATATATATATATATATACGTAACTTATAAATATTAATAGATGGGTAAATACTTTCTATATTTATAAAGTAATTTATACAAAAATTTAACACTTCTTCACAGAATTGTGTTACAGTTATCTAAACGTTCACATATAAAAATATTTCATAACTAGTCTTTCTACTGTTCAGCAAAATGGTTTATGGAAAAAGCATAGATTGTTGTCCTGATAAAATCTAGCACTGTAGCATCCAAATATCTCCTAGCCCTTAAGGTCGAACAAGGTTTTTTTTTTTGTAATGCCTTTCCCACCTGCAGTAGTTATGTAAAAAGACCAATCAGATGTTGTTTTTTAATGCTACTTGAAATTGAAATCATATAAATCATAATATGTAAGTAGGCTTGATATTAAGCCAGATCTCCTTTACATGGCCCACTAAAATATTTTGTAATTGATTCCTAGGGGTTCAATTCTTTTTTCAGCAGGACTATGACTACAACAAGCTGCATTTGCCAAATTTACTGCAGCTTCAAGTGATTCACACTTTATTATTTGTCATTTTGGAGTTTCCTAGCTTTTCTCTTCAGATTTTGTGCAGGGCAGGTGATTTTGTGTAATTGCATCAACTCCCTGATTCTGTATGTGTTTTCATTAACATGCATGACACACTACACATGGGTACAGTCCTGCATGTGATGTTATCTGACAAATATTCAAAATATAAAGCAAAAAAAATGTCACAATCAAAACTGAAAGCACTGTAAAAAGGGAACATCTGTCTTTAATGGTTGACAGGATGGCCCTGGCTGATGTTTAAGATGACAGCTCCTGAGAATGCCCTCGTCAGTACAAATGAAGCTGAAGTAAATTATTTCTTATTCGGTCTGATAAGATCCTGCAAGGATGGACAGTTTACAAATAACTTGGTTAACTTGACAAATGGCCAAGGAGGAAAAGTTTAATTGTTATTTAATCTTCTATGTAGCTGTCAATGTTTTGATGAATTACTTTGTATACACAGAATATGATCAACCAATCCTTCTACTGTTGTCTTGTGGTCAAGCACATCACCCCTCTATTCTTTCTGTTGTCTTGGCATAAACCTTTTGATTTTTTAGTATAATGTAATAATCTTTAAATACTTATTTCAATGTTTAGGTGTGAACATCTTTTTTAAGTTGGCAAATCATTATTATAATTACTTTTATGTGTCATGAGACATTATTATTATTATAAAGCATTTTATATTTATTATGATTATTAGTTAATTAAATGTATCATGTTCAGTTGTCCAATTGGTGACATGAGAGGCTTTATCTGGCCCTGTGAATAATTTATATCATTAAGTCCAGTGATTTTTTGGTAAGGATAAGACAAATAGTGATTTTGTTGGATATTGGATTTCTGATATATAGCCCCTAATTTCTGATTGGATTCAGGTTTGTTTGACCAGACAGTAAATATGGCCATATATATATTGAGAATATGCTGCAGGCTTCAGGTACTACTTTATTATAGCATAGTATAGAAAGAGAGAAAACAGCTAAACTATACAAGTATTGAGAATATGTATAATCAAGACAAATTAGTGAACTCTTTTTTGCTATTATCAGTCAGAAGATTCATCTAACGTAAATATAATGTTATATATTATGGGCCTGTAGCTAGGAGAGGCCGGAAATAGACTCTTTTATTGAAATTGTTTATTGTTAAAAGTGGCGCACTTTAAGAGTGTAAAGGCGCAAAATTATGAAGGGGCGGAGCACCACCCCTGAAAATCCGCTAGTGTTTTACATACATGATACGATATCAGTTTAAAGCACAGCTTTCGAATTTGTGAGAAATATGTAATTCCCATGGGGAAAAATTTGGGGACTGTGGTTTAACTTGGAAAAGTTACTGTGCAGTATACAAAAGTATATGTTCGTGTAACTATTTTTGAGGTTCTGTTCTGAGTGCATAGTTTAATACATCTAATCATGCAGAGTTAACATAGATAAAAAAAATCATTTTCTTGTTTCAATTAAATAAAACCTCTTTTAAGATTATTCCGAGAATGATCAGTGGAAGTTAAAATGCGCGTTTTCTTTTGCCAAAATTAAAAAGATTGTCTTGCACTAACAGTCCGGACACGCTCAATAGTTAGGCTGACCTATAGTTATATTAAGCGTTTATACGTACGGACACGCTCAATAGTTAGACTGACCTATAGTTGTATTAAACGTTTACTCGTACGAGCACGTTTAATAGTTAGACTGACCTATAGTTATATTAAACGTTTAAGCGCTCAATAGTTAGACTGACATATAGTTATATAAACGTTTATACGCACGGACACGCTCAATAGTTAGACTGACTATCAATCTAGTCAGTAATCTAGTTATTACACGGTTAAAGAGCTTTACTAGAAGCTTAAGTTTATGGAGAAAAAAAGACCCGTAAAAAAACACGTGTGTGATAGCGTGATTAATAAATAAATAGACTAATGTTTAAATTATATTTTATGGCAAACCTGCTCCCCCTCCCCCGTTTTTTTTTTCGTTTGGTATAAAACATACCAGTCAGTCTTATAATATATTTGTAGCCATATTGACCGTTTACATAGCTACAAATAACAAAGAAATCGTGAAAGTTGCCAGGTTTAACTTGTTAAAGGAAACGTACTTTTTCTTTGAATAATTTCACTAAAAATCCTGTATCAAGATGACATGGTCCTCTTGAGCTGTGACGTACTATTATTATTACCTGATGATCTGCAGTTTCTGTTTAGTGGACTATCCGATGCGATTGAAAAATGTAGTGGCAGGTGGTTAGGGCGCTCAACTCTCAATCTGGTTCGAATCCCCGTCCCACCAAACATGCTCGCCTTTTCAGCCGTGGGGGGGGGGGGGCGTTATAATGTGACTGTCAATCCCACTATTCGTTGGTAAAAGAGTAGCCCAAGAGTTGGCGGTGGGCTGTGATGACTAGCTGCCTTCCATCAAGTATTTCACTGCTAAATTGGGACGGCACGAAATTCATAACAAACAAAGCCTCCGATTTCTCTTCGATAAATCTTGGGGCTTTTAAGACAAGTCGGGTTTTGATACTCACGGTGGGCACCCAAAGGTAGCTCATTAGTATCTTTGTGCTTAATAATAAACAAGTTAACTAGAATTGTGAGCTGTCTTAGCTACCTATAAGTAAACTGGTAATTAACCTGGGATATATTGTATTTAAATTTACAAGAACGCAATTCTACTAAAAGTTTACCAACAATGCTTTGTATTTATTATTTTTTTTAAGTGCAAATAGTGACGCTGCAAGTGAGAAACGTGTAGATTTGCTGCTTACCAGCTGGAACCATGAAGGATTAGATTTTTATTTTTTTTACATATAATAGATTACCGCGACCTCCTCTCTCTTTGCTCTATTGTTTTGCATTGTTATAGCTTCGGTATCGCGTGTCCGTTGTCATGCGGTCTTTAGTTTGCCATCTGCTGCCTGTTGTTA